TTTTTTTTTTTTTTTTTCCAATAAAACAGAACCTCACGGTTCTGGCTCCTACCATTCTGGGGAGCGACAGTCTGGTTCCTATTCCCCCGGCAAGTCAATATGGAATACATAAAAGACTCACGCACGCTCCTCCCCATTATGGCTGAGAGGCCCGAGAGGGCAGCAGTGATTACTTCCGTGAGAAAGGATGTACCACCTCTCACCCCTGCCTAATGTAGCCTGTACTAACTCTGCCTGCCAATCTGTCTGATCCCAGATCTGCTCCTCTCAGCTATGAAGCTGTCGGTTAGTTGTGATTATGCAAGAGCCTTCTGGAACACTTATGTGCCTTTTGAAGCGTCTATTACTCTATAACAGCATTTGCCTTGTTTCTGTCTAAGCCGTAAACCCTAAACCCTCGGTCTTAAAGCTGTCCTGATTTCTCTGTTCCAAGACGTCCAGGTAGAAATTACCTCTCCTACGCCCTAAAACTCTCCGTGTTTTCACCCGACTACGACCCTTAACCCCTAAACCTTTCCTTCGACTCATAATCCTGAATCCCTTCCCCTTTTTTTTTTTTTTTTTTTTTTTCCCCCTTAGAAGTCGCTGCACGGCCTTTCAGGAGTGTTTTGTCCATGACGACCTGTTTCATTCAACACCCGCCTCCGTGTCCCTTGGTATGAACGGCCAGATCTCTTAAACCCTTAACCCTTAGCCAGTGTTCCTGTCTTCTGAAATGCCTACCTTGGCGTTGGCAGGATTCCGTTTATTTCCAGCCCCTGTGACCGACCCTCCTCAGCAACCCCCGTTCATGCACCATTTTAACCTTTTCTCCGGCTTGTCCTCCCTTTTCCCGCTTCCCCTTTTGTCTGTGCCCCTTGGATCTCTAGCCACTTGTAAGTATCCCTTTGCGTTCTAAGAAGTGGCTATATTCTCCGACGTTGCCTGCTGTAGAACGCCTTTTTCTGGAATTGGATTATGCCAGTCTTTCCGGCATATTCGATCCTGCCGCAGTTCTGCACCTTGCCATTTACCAGCCAGCTTCTATAGAATTTCTGTCTTTCCCTTTCCCGTTCATCTTCTGACCTCTGCAGGGGGTCTTCGCTTGAATCGTAGCTTTGGTCTCTGTCAACACCTTCTCTCGTGGGTTGGACCGCCCTTCAAATGTTCTGCTGCATCTTTTCCCTTCATGTGACCCACAGAGTCACTTCCTGGTGGGATCGAACCAGATTTTCTCTGTCTTCCTTGCCAGTTCGGGGATGTTAGCCAGGAGGAGCAATTGAATGGGTTGTTCGGGGGAGGGAACATGAAGAGGGAGTGCCGGAGAGCTGAAGCTCTCGCCCAGTATTCGGTTGCCTCTTTACAAAGCATCAAACAGTGCCCTACATCCTCTACCGCCCTTCGGTGCAAACTGCCCATAACTCCGAGCTGTCAGGATCTGTGGTTTTCTGTCTGATGTGCAAGCATTGATTTACCGGGGGGGCAGCATATGAGGGCATCCACTACCGGCCGTCAGATTAACCTTTTGCTGGAGCTGTTACTGAGGCTCTTGCTCGTGTCGTGTCCACCTCTGGTCTTAGATGTCTTATGAACTACCCTTGAGTGAAAATTCTATGGTCTATCTATTTCCTTCGCCCCTTTATTGTTTTACTTGCTGTCTTGGTTGCTATCTTGCTCCCCTATACCTTTTGCATGTCGCAGGTCTGTGCTTTTCTGCCGTATTCTTCGGTGTTGGTTGGAATGGTGGGTTTCTGTTGCTGGCCTAACGTCGGTTTAGTCTGTGGAAATGTTAATTTCGAGGGACTCCGGTATACTGTTTACTGAAGAGTCTTGCGACTGGTGTCTTGGTGGGGGTTCATCCCAAAGACGAAACACTATACTTGAGCCGTGTATCAGGGCAACTTTGCCTTTTGCTAGGTAATTTTCTTCGAATTTGCATTGGTGATCCTTTGCCTTGCCTTCGTCTTCTT